GTTTGAGTATCTTTTCTTGCACAGAGAAATACTATAACAGAAATTGTGGACAAAGTGTTAGATCAGTCAGATGGAGACCAATTGACCATATAATTGTCACAGGCAAGTTTAGTTTCCTGAAAATAGTACCGTGTGCTGCACAGGAATATAATCTTCAGGAACAGCCTTGTCACCCTGGACTAGTTACTTTTCTTCATATACTGACTGTCAGTAATAATACTTTCTCATGCATTCCAAGCAATGAAATAAGTTGTATATAAAGTGTTCCCCATAGTTTCCAGCACATGGGAAGCACTTGGTGAAAAACAGTTATCATTATTTGTTGAAATTTATAGCATCTATGCATTCCCTTTTACCAAACTGGTGACTGTCCCAATCAGGTATGTGGCTGGTTTGGAATAACCTTGTTCTTGGCGAATCCCTACGGGTCCCTGTGATCACCACATCATTCTGTCAGACAGCTTATTGAATAATGTATACTAGCATTTTGTTTTTCCCTTTCCAAAATGAGACTGTGACACATCTCTCATATTCAGATATATCTTTTCTGGTTGACACAGCCAAGGTACATTAGTCAAATATTTATATTACTGATACAATCTTCCCAAGACATCCTCCAAGCTTTTGGCTAGTTCATACATAAATAAATAAATGATGCTGTTAGGCCACTTTGTGTTTTTTTGAAGCCACTCCAGTAACCCCTTGTCAGTTGAGATATAATATCACAGTTTTTAAAATGCTTAAGATCTCAAATTCTAACTGAAGCTAACTCTTTCCTTCATATGCAAACAATAGTGAACTTGTTGGCTCAAAAAAAATATAAAAATCAATGAGAAAGATTTAAGGGAGCAATTAATGAGATAATGTCTAGAATGCAGTTTGAGCCCCTGGGAAGAAATGTGTTTATATCCACAAAGCATTTCTACCATCATGTTTGTTCGTGAGCCATAAATACAATTGAATTCTTCTGTGAAATCAGTGCCTGGAGGTAGGGAAGAGGAAGAGTCAATATTTGGTCTTGATGTATCATAGAGATGTTTGTTCCTATATATTTGAATATTTATTTGCAATTATTAATAGAGTACAAACTCTTTTTTGAGGGCATTTGACTAATCTCAGGTTAAAGAAAAAAAAATGACTTCTGATAATCATCTTCATTGTTACCCTTGAAACTCAGGACTTTTCTATTGTTTTAAAATTGGACTGTCATATTTAGGTTGGCTTTAAGTCATTTCAGGAAGATTCTGAAGAGCTTTTTATCTCTACCTTCATCCATTTCTTCATTGACTTTGTGATTTATTTAAAGAACACAGGATTTTTTATACCATTCATCCCCTTATCTAGGACACTGTCTCCAAGTTACAGTCCAATCCAGAAAAACTAAACTAGATGTACTGCCTACATTCAAATTGACTGTGCCTGGTTGTCCTTCCATTTGCTTAAAAAACAAAACAAAGACCATAAGTTTACAATAGCATTGGTTCTAACTATGGAACATTCTAATACTTTCATCCCTTCAGATAAACAGAAAAGATGGAACGGATGAACAGGCCATTTAATCTTGAGAGCCCATATTCTAGAATAGGGCTTCTCAGATTATAATGAGCATAGCTATCACGTGGAGATCTCCTTAAAAAGCAAATCATGATTCAGCAGGTCAGGGTAGGGCCTGAAATTCTGCATTTCTAACAAACGTCCAAGTGATGACAAAACTTTTGATTCATGGACAAAACTTTGAAATGCAAGGATTTAGAATATTTTAAAATACTGATCTGAAAGATACCATTACTGGGATTGAGCTCGGAAAATACAAAGGTGTACATAGTAAATGAAGCTTCATGTCTGAAGTTAGAACATATTCCAAAGTGAGTTTTCTACAGATGGAAAGTAGAGCAGATTATTTGCCAAATTATCCCTTTGAAAGTGCATCTATTATGTGTGAATATAGAACATTGAAAAGAGAATTTGATACTCCCAAAACTCGATACAAAACTTTTAATGGACCGCACAGCGACCTCATTTTTGAAGTATATAAGATGTGCTTATTTTGGAGTAGAAATAACTACTGATTATACTAATGAACTGTAGAGAATCTCTACCAACTGATCATTTGTGGTTGTTTTGTTTCCTTGTCACATACCTTCAAGTTTCCCCTCCAAGCAGACTTTTTTCTCACATAGTTTTTCGGCTCCTTTAAAATTCTTTTTCCCCCAGCATTAGTGAAATATAATTATCAAAAAATTGTGTAAGTTCGAGGCAGTGTGTTGACTTGATAGACATACGTTGCAAAATGACATCATGTCACATCATTACTTTCTTTTTTTGTGTGAAGAGAATGTTTAAGATCTATTCTCTTAGCAAATTTTAAGTTTACAATACAGTAATCCTAACTACAATAATTATTACTAGTTTATTAAAGGATATGGTAAAGGATACAGATGAACAGCCAGATGAAGAGATACATAGGGTGGGATCTGGGACAGTCCCACCTGGAGCTTCTGACCCAGTGGAATGGGGATGCATCATCCTCCCCATGTGGGTATATTTGCCCACCTGGAAGCTCACCGAGCTCCTGGAATTCTATGGAGGCTTCCTCACGTAGGCATGTTGGATAACCAAGTTGATTTTCAGCCCCGCTCCCCTCCCTGGAGGATGGAGAGGGGAGAGGCTGAACGTTCCAAGCTCCTAACCATGGCTTGGTCTTTCTGGTGACCAGTCCCCATCCAAGAGCCCCAAGGAGGCCACCCAGAGTCACCTCAGTGGAACAAAATATGCTCCTGGTGCTGTAATCAGGAATTTGAACGTTTATTTATTTTTGGGACAGAGAGAGACAGAGCATGAACGGGGGAGGGGCAGAGAGAGAAGGAGACACAGAATTGGAAACAGGCTCCAGGCTCTGAGCCATCAGCCCAGAGCCTGACGCGGGGCTCGAACTCACGGACCGCGAGATCGTGACCTGGCTGAAGTCGGACGCTTAACCGACTGCGCCACCCAGGCGCCCCAGGAATTTATAAGAGGTTGAGGATGCAAGACAAACGTTAGAAGAGCTTTTAGTGCTCTTTAGTGCTCTTACCACTTTGGAAATTATGAAGATTTTAGAAGCACTGTGCCAAGAACCAGAGCAGAGACCAATATGCACATGTTCTGTGGTCTCACATAAATTTTTACACTATGTCTTAAGCATTCTCCACACTTCAGTAGATCCATCACAATTTATCCAACTACTTCCTTTTGTTGGCAGTTCAGTAGCTTGTAGTTTTACAAAATGTTATGAAGTTTTTGCAGTATTGAGATATTTTACAGTGTGTTGGAAATTTCCTTGGCATACTGCTTCAGTTGTGGTGTTGACAGGGCATATTTTCAGAGATGTCTTATATTTGCTAAATGATTGCGTAAGATGCACATTATTTTCACCCTGACGTTTATTGACAATTGACAATTGCACGCTCATCGTGGTTTACTCATTGTCTTCCAAAAAGACTGCACCTGTTTTCACGTCATCCCCAGCAGGTGACACCACCAGTTTTATGCTCAGATGTCATTTCTACTATGTCCTCCTCTGGTCCCCTAAAGTAGTGCCACCCAGATTCTCCTTCCCTTCGTTTATGACACTGAAGACTTCTACAATTGCCTTGCTTGATGTGTAATCTCACATGTTTTTGGTCTCTCTCATCCAAAGGATAGGCTCCATAATGGCAACCACCTCGCGTGTGGTGCTTCCTGGCTGGCGCATTGTAGACACTCATGAGACATTTAATGTGTGAATCCATTTTGCCAAACCGGTGGGGGAAAAACCAATATTCTTGGCCTTTTTAATTTGCCTTTTAAAAAGTTGCTAACATCATTAGTAATTTACTGTTAGTTGTCAGGTCCCTTTTGTGAACTGTTTAAGTCAATCCAAATGCAAATCTGGCCATGAACATGTAACTTCAGATATACACACTAGCTGGACCGTAGCTCAGAATGTGGGCTTGTTATCTTCCTGAAACACATGTGCCTGTGTATATTGAAGATATGCATATTAATCAAAGTGACCAGGGATTATGAGGCCACGGATGGATGCAGTGGAAAAGAAGGAAGAAAAGGTTGCACATCCAAATGAGCTTGAAAACATGAGATGACTAATCACTACCACCAGGGGGAGGAAGGGCAGAGGATTTTGTCTCCCAAGATGCCTTTGGGTGTTATGCCCAGAATTCGTGATCCCCAAAGACCACCAGGGAGCCGAGTCCGATGCAAAAGCAAAAGAGCCTTTATTCGAGCTAGCTCGAGCTCAATCCCCTACCTGCACTGACGCAGCGGTGAGATACCAGGGAGAGAGGGGGAGTTTCAAAAGCACAAAAGTTTTATTGGGGTCTAGGGGCAGTTGGTGAGGTAATGGCTGTGGCCTCAGCCGATTGGCTGGGGAAGGGTCGCAGTTCTGTTAGGCAAGCAGGTTGCTGGGCGTTACTCAAGGGGAGGAGGCGTGGTCAAGGTGAAGGACAGAACAAAATGGAGTCTGCCCGTAGGCCCGCCCTTTCAGGGAATGCCTGCAGACATTTTTGTTTGGGAGGGAAAGGTGCTAGGCCATCTCTTTGAGTAGGGACCAGGGACTCCCCCCAGCCCCAACACAGAAACCCTGGTTTAGAATGAGACACAGGCATCGATGTTATTTAAAACCTTCTCAAGTAATTCACATAAGCCGCAACCATGATTGAGAACCTTTGAAATTTTGGAGAATTGGTTCTCAGAGATACATTCATTGAAGGGTCCTATAAAATCCCTTGAGAGTATTTAAAAAACATGGATTCTTGGAGCGCCTGGGTGACTCAGTCGATTAAGTGTCCGACTCTGGATTTCAGCTCAAATCATGACCTCACAGTTCATGAGTTCGAGCCCTGTGTCAGTCTCTGCATTGACAGCCAGAGCCTGCTTGGCATTCTCCCTCTCTCTCTGCCCCTCCCCTGCTCCCTCTCACTCTGCTCGTGTTCTCTCTGTCTCTCTCTCAAAATAAACTTAAAAAATAAATAAACAAAAATTAAAATATGGGTTCTCATTCCCTAATGAACACCCTTCCCGTCCCCCGCCTTTTTTTTCACCGGCAGGTCTGAAGTGGGAAGGGAGACTCTACCAGGCCCAGAAGCTGTCCAGGTGAGACCACGGAAACTCTGGAACCACAGGTGAGTGGAGTAATTATCGGCTTAGTGGTGGCAGGGGAGGAGTCTCTCTTGCTCCAAGGTGCATGCTTTTGGGAGAGTCCCTGCTTGATTCTGCCAGAGAGCTGAAGACTCAGTGCTTTCTGCTGCCCGGAGGCGACACCACTTGGTGTTTGAAGTGGGAGGCTCTACTCTGGCCTGTGTGTTTTCAGGACTGCAAGCCTGCTTGCCTGGGTGGGAGCGGAATCTAGACACAGGCGGGATTGAGGCTACATTTGTGTCTTCACATAAACCCGCCTGCAAGGCCCAGTCAGCGCTGCCAGTAAGCAGGAAGCCTCCAGCTCCCTTTCTTGGTCTGCACTGGACACGCTAGAACTAGAAACTTCTGAAAGCCCATGAAAGGTAAGACCACCTTGTTCCAGTTTACCCCCCCGGCGCTCCAACTAGGATTCCGACCAAGAGCTAATCCTTTGCGTGACCCTTGCCCTTAGCTACCTCTTCCACATCTTCTGTCCCTCATATAGACTGTAATGAAAGATAGCTTTCAAATATGACTTCAGGCTTCCGGACTCCCCACGGGGTTCTCAGTTGTGCTGTATTTGGTATGTTATCTGGGTCATCCAAGTGCTTGAGCTCACTTGTAATTTATCAGCAAAGGTGCCTTCCTGCCACCTTCAAAATCACTCGAGCTGGGCGGATTTCAGCAGAGGCTGGCTGCTTGCAGCGCCTCTTTCTTTCCCCGGGGTTAGGAGCGAAACAACAGCACTTTCATGCGTGCTCATTGAGGTTAATCGATCCTATTAACATTATCTTGGGGGAAATCGATGCTTCAGTCTTGCAGGAGACATGTAAATAAAGTGATAAAAAATAAACCAAGGCCAGTTGTTTCCTGATGGGAAAATGCGAGGTGAATTAAGACAATTTATGATCAGCGGGTGGAGGGATATTTTTGAGCTCCCAAGGATTTAGCAGGCAGGAAAAGTGGGGCTCTGTTTGGTAAGAGTGGTGTCAGCTGTGCAGCCTGCTGGGAGGCGGTCCTCACCGCACCTGTGGGGTCTCCTGGTTGGTGGCGGTGTTGCTTGGTCTTTGTGCTTTGATCTAGCTGAAACCAACATTCTTTATTCGGTTTTCTTATCAGTATTATCTTAGTAAATAAAACTCTGTCCCAAATGACTTACCTAACTGATAAAAGGCATGAGTAACATTAATAAGGTTAAGAACAACCGGTTGCTAGAATCTCCTACATGTCTGTTCATTTATTCCCACCCATAATATTTGGTTGAATACCTACTCTGGATCCGGTATTGTTTTGGGTCTTGGGATACAATGTAACCGAGGCAGACAATTCCATGCCTGTCTTGGAATGTACCCATTAGCTCGGGGGCAGAAGGTAAACAAAAGCCAGATGCTGTCAAATAAAGATGAATACATTGAGGAAAGAAGCACAATAAAAGGATAGCAAGGGGAATGTGTACAGTTTACATGGGGATGGTAAGGGAAAGTCTCTCTGACATGGTGGCTGAGCAGAGACCTGGATAAAGAGCCATCTTTATGGCAAAATATATCCCCAGTAATGATCTCAATTGGGAGGCTACCGAGTACATTGGAAAGAGCCTGATCTTTGAAAGGAATCCTGAGATTATGATCTCGGCTGTGCTTCTAATAATTGTAGGACGTGCGGAAATTAAGTACCTGTCTGTGTATTCCCCAGGTGGAAATAGAAATATTCCAGTGCACCTTTATAAGGCGGTGTTGAGACTTGAATGAGAGTCGAACATTTGAAACTTGGTAGACTAGTTTGTTGGAGGCCCTTGGCAAACGTTGGTCCCTTTCTACAATGCTGGGGATGCTGGGTGGCAGATAGGAGTGCATGTGGCCATGCACGTGTTTGAGTACCTACTGAGTACTGGGCACCGTGAGGAGTACTGCCGAGAAGAAAGCAAGCACAATATCTGATCCCAAGTGTGTCTTTAGTAGAACATGTTCTATGATACCTTATGAGCCTCCATTTTCCTCATCTGTAAAATAGGAGAGTAATAATAATGCCTACCTCATAAGGTGGACAATAAAACGTTACTATGTGAAAAACATTTAGAGTGGAGTCTCACACATAGTAAGTGCTAGGAGAGTGTTTCAAAATTAAAAATAAATAGCATCCCGCGTGAATGGTGCTGTCCTATGGAGGAGGTGTGCTAACCTTCCACAGTGTTCCACATACTGTTGGGTGCTCTTCATGTGTCACCTCACTGGATCTTCTTAGCAGTACATTTTATAGATGAGGAAAGGGGACTCAGAAGTGGCTAAAGATTTTGCCCAAAGTAACATGCCTGTTAGCGGGGGAACTGGAGGTTTAAACTGGTTTTACTGTGAAACCTCCTGCTGATTGAAATTCTTGCAGAATTGTTACTCAAGCTGAAGAGATGAGTGTAATTGGGTCCTGTCCTGATGGGGTGTAAATGGAGAGATTGAGCTGTCCACAGGGACGGATCTCACCACTTTCTATGTATCCAAATGCAAGATCCCCAGCATTTGGGGAAGCTACCAACAAAGTTAGCTTTAGCCCCCAGAGCTAACGGTTTTGTTATACTGTTCGTAGAATTTAATGCAGGAGACCGTTATTAACTGATTCTATCTACAAAAAGAGCAAAATAATTCTTGGTGTGTTAGAGTGACCGGAAAACATGGTTCTTCCCAAGAAATGCTAAGGATATTCTCTAGGACTGGTAAACTGGAGAGAAAAAAAATTTTAAATAAACTTTTTTGGGGAATAATTTTAGATTTATAGAAAAAAATCGTAAGGATAGTGCAAGCATTCCCACATACCTTTCCTCTTTCCCTAAAATAGTAACGTTTTACCTAACGGAAGTATATTTATTAAAACTAAGACATTAATACTGATACATTATTACTAACTAAACTACAGACTTGATTTGGGTTTTACCAGTTTTTCCACTAATATTCTTTATCAGGGATCCTTTTCAGGATACCAAATTTTATTTAGGAAATGCCTTTAAACTTTAGAAATTTTAACTTCTGTTACTATTTAGGTATTGCATTCTGACCATTGGGTAAAAAGATAGTGCATCTAATTACTGGTTTCTTTGACCAATTTGGAAAGAAGGCCTCTGAGCTTTGAATGGCATGGTCCTTACACAGATTTGTTTCCCAGACTGAAAAAAAGGAACAATCAATCCTATAGGATAACTTCTAAATTTCTTGAAGAGAGCAAAAGAGTTATAAATTCAATGGGAAAAATCTGCCTGCATTTCTTTTTTTTTTTTATTGACCTAGTATCTCAAAGATGAAGAATTTACCAGTTGTAATGTGTTAATCTAACTGACCCCTCACAAGACAGATTTCTCTTTTAGTTTTAATGCATACCTCTTGAAATTATCCCATTCTGTGTGTGTGTGTGTGTGTGTGTGTGTGTGTGTGTCTCAAAGTGAGAGTTATTCTAAGGGGGATACAATAATACTAGAGAGAGCACACAAAAGAAGTCTTTGTAAGTTTCACAATTACTTTTATTACATAATTTCATCGAAATGCTGATTAAATTAAATGCATGCTGTGATCCTGGTACATTTGCATTCAAGCAACAGCTTTTTGGTTTGTTTTTAACAGAGGTCTCACTGACCTTGGAGACATTAGAAAGATTGCTTTCACATGGGTGAATGGTCAGGCGTATTTCTCCAGTGTATTAGGATGAGAATAGGTTGGTCTCATCAACAATGGGCCGTCTCTCTTTAAACTCTTGTGTATTTGTGTCAACAAAATTAATTATGACCATTTTGGCAGAAAAGTAGAACACAAAGCAACTTTCATTCATGCTGAAGCTTCTAGGTGTTTTCTTTGCAGTAAGAAGCTCAAGGGAGAGTTTTTACTACTCTCTTATATTCTCAAATGCTGCTTTGGTAGGTATCCATTATAGTTTATCCGAACAAAGAGTTGTTCTTGTCCAGTGGGAACTTGAGGAGTTCTTATCGGCACTAGTAAAGATTATTAAGGTAGACTCATTCTTATAATAACTTCGAAGCAGTTGTTTTGAAAAGTTAAAAAATAAAGGTGTGGAGACTAGTCAAATTGGAAATCATCATCCAAACCACCATGGCTGATGAATTCACTTCCCTTCAGTGAGTTCCCCCATTTATTACAGGTGATACTCTGTATCAGCATGGAGACCCTTGGCTATAGCATCTGAAAGTTAATATATCTTTGAGGATTATGTCTCTTTATTGCCCATCTATACCTGTGACACCAGCTGAGGTGCACATTCTTCATGCCCCCTACATGCCTAACAGTCCCCTACCTCTTCAGCTTTATTCCTGCATTCCCACAACATCCAATGCTTTTCCTTCTGTCTCTGCGTGTAAGGTTGGTCCTGTCCTCCAGCAGTCCATTAAGATACTTTCCTTAATCCCCCCCACCGCCGTTCGCCCCTCCCTAAGAAGAAGAGTTGATGATACAGACATGCATTCTCAGTAGTAGCAATATTATCCCAAGGTAGCAAAACTTGGTTTGTGGTTGGAGGGAAGTATAAAAATCTTAGTCTTTTTTTTTTAAAGTTTATTTATTTTGAGAGAGAGAGAGAGAGTAGGGGAGGGGCAGAGAGAGAGGGAGAAAGAATCCCCAGCAGGCTCTGCATGGTCAGCACAGAGCCCAACACGGGGATTGATCGCACAAACCATGACATCATGATCTGAGCTGAAATCAAGAGCCAGACGCTAAGCCAACGGGGTTACCCGGTGCCCCCCAAGTCTTACTCTTTTTATATATAAAATACAGTTAGGCACATGATACATGAACAGGTATTTAGTGTATCTGTCCACCAAGATTTTATGAGGGAAGCAATTAGGAAACACATACCTAAAAAGGCTCTGAGAGGAACAACAAAGCAAAAAAAAAAAAGTTGGAAAACACTGATAGAGACTACTCTTTGAGTATTCAAGGTGTGCGGTAGCCAGATTCATGTCCCTGGCAGCTGTCCCCTCTTGTGGTCCTGAGGTACATAAGACAAGAGAAGCGGAGAAGAGGTAATGTTGGCCACTCTCTTGGAATCGGCCAGGGTCTAACTGACCATCTTCCCTTCATGATGGCAGAAGGAACTGATTTTTGAGAGCTTTTGCTGCCCGTGTGTACAGTACAAAACCATCCGTAAGTTTCTCATTGTGTTTAAGATTCCACGTTCACAAAATTTCGTTATTTGTTTATATTTATGGACACATCAAACAAAATGGAAAAATAGAGACGTTCTGCCACAATTGTGGGGGAGCAGCCAAAGGAGCAACGAGAAATGATAGAAAAACTGTCCTGTAAATGTGAGAACCACAAGGAGGAGTGGGAGAGAGACCTTGTCTGCCTATAGAGTCACATCTGTGCCCACTGTCCCTGAGCCACCTCCCTCA